TCCTGCTGCTGTTGCTTCAGATACTTGTCTAGCTGCCGTCTCCTGTCTTGTAGAAGTTCAAGAAGACTGTCGATCTTCAGACAGCTATTATGAGCTCCCTGAATCAACTCGGGAATTACATTAGGCCCATCACACTTGAATTTTTCTATGAAGTCAGTGAGTTGTTGACTTTTGTTTAAAAGGGCTAGAGATCGTTCTAAGAGTTCTATAAGAAAATTAGAAAGAAAAAATAGTGATATGAGCGAGCTTTTATAGAATAATATTTTGCCTCTTCATATAATTTAAAGCATATACAATGTTCATACTAAAATAAGAAATTCAAATGTGTAAACGTAAAATGCCTACGACACAACAGGTAAAATACCTCAGTCTAACAATTGCTATAGCACTAACTGACAAATTACAGGATGCTGAATTTCAGTGGTAGCATAATTCAGCAGAGGGAGTAGAAAGACTGTTAGATTTGAGTTTGTTTTTAGTGGTGTGTTGCTGATAAGGTTCCTATTCTCCTTGGAGTGTTCTACATCCTGAGGTGATTGACTAAATCTGAGATTTAAAGGCTAATGCCTATACTGGCCAAACAAAAACTCAATAGATGTGATGGCCAGGGGCCCAGATGCAAAGTGGAAAATGCATGCTCAGTCTAATAGGAATAGTTGTCAGCCAGTTCTGACCAACTGCTGACAAGAGAGAATATGGGTTTATGGTTGATGGAGTTTCCAATTTTTAAAAAAAATTATAAATATACATTTTTATGTGAAAGCTTCTGATTTTTAATGCTTGTAATTTGTATTTTTTTAATTAAAAAACACTGAAGTATAAACAAAACATGTCTTTCTGCCAAATGGGGCACCAGCTTGTGCCCTGTGGAGTAAATAGCATCGTGGTTTGGGTTAACATAGAAATGGGAGTTTAAGCATGAAAGCTGAAGGAAAAAAGAGTATAAAAGGCGGAATTGAGAACAGCACGTTGAGAAGTGACCACACCTGTGGATCATTTGGACGAGCAGTTGAAGAACTGTCCACTCTCCACTAGCCAGAAACCCGGGATTCATCCACAACACATCCTTCTCCCTAATCCCACCGTTATCAAGACCAATCAACTTCACCCTCTATCTCCTGTATCCATCTACTTTTCTCATCTCCACTGTAGAAAGCATCATCTGTTACCTAAACTTGTACTGTCACCTCTTAACTGCATTCCCTCTCTAATACATCTATCCATTCTTCATATATTAGCCAGAGAGATCTTTTCTAAATGTACTATGTCACACACGCACACACACACACACACACACACACACACACACACACACACACACACACACGCACAATGGCTTCCCATTGCTTCAGAATTAGAATCAGACCTTTTACCATGATTTCAGGCCAGGCATGGTCTGATCTCCATCTTCCCTTCAGATTGTCTCAATCTCTGTACCCTTCATCCCATCTTCTTTAAAAACCTCACACATCCTATACTCCCTCCTGCCCCAGAACTTTTCACCGTGCCCTCTGCCAGAGTTACCATTCTCCTCAACTCTTTCATTTTCCACCTTTATTCTACTCATACTTCAGGACTCAGACAACTGTCAGTTCCTCAAAAGACAAATCAGACAGGATCAAATCCTCTTAAGTGTTCCCATAGCACAGTGTTCCCCTCATTCACGGTTCTTATCATGACTATAGTTTATATTTATGTGTTGGGTTGGGTTAGTTGATTAATGTCTGTCTTTACTATTAGGCATCAATGCAATATGAGGATAGGGACAATGACTTAGCATAGTGACTGGCCCAAGAGAGATGTTCAATAATTTTTGTGGATGAGAACAAATGCATCAAAAGAGGGGGAAGAATTAGGAGAACTGTCAATGATAGAGATCAGTAGTCCTCTGGAGATGTAAAAAAGAGATGTTGAAAAGATTTTGGGCTTTGTGATGGGTAAGTGATGGAAACAGAAACCAAGTTACCAGGATGAGAAGTGGGAAGGTAGTGATGAAGTAAAGTCAATAAGACAGGACAATCTTTGAGACGTTTGTTGTTAGGAAAAAAAAAAAAAAAGATAAGACTATCAGCAGGGTTGCCTATACTGCTTTTTATTTTTAGTATGAGAACTATGAAGAACATCTACGGATAAGTTCCTTACCAAACATCACACTACAAGAAATGGACTAAACCACATCCACTATACCTTGGCACCCAAATTTAGCATTCTAACAATTGGCAGTAAACTACACAGCAATGATTAAGCTGTGGCAGTTGGGCCAGTTGTCTCTTTTAACTGACAACTAGAGAGCTGAGAGAATGAGATAAGTGAAGATACTGTAAAGAGACATTTTGAGGTAAGAAGGAAAGAATTTGAAGCGTTTATGCCACATGCCCTAGATCTGTCTAATTAAGGTATTAAATGATGTCATCTGCTCAGAGTGAGGAAGATGTGATTGTGTGCACTGGGCAATTCGATCGAATGTCAACGATGCAAGAAATAAACAACAAAAACAACCACAGATTTAAACAAGAACAGAGAATGGGATAATTCAAATAGAAAATAGAAAAAGTTAGGGAGAACATTAAAATTAGAGTAAATCTCTTAAAGAAATGGAAGTGAATGTAAACAAGATGGGAAAGTGTGGGGGCAGAAGAAAGCCTGCCTTCCTAGAACAAGATCTTTCATGGAAATGAAAGAAGCAACTGCACAAACAAAGAAAAAACAAGTTACAGAAAGCCTTATCTATCAAACTGAAGGGTTTTAGTTTGTATAGACTTAATGTAATAAGCACTATGACTAATTCCCCATAAGTATAAATATTTATTTTTATTATAAAAATAATAATACACTGTATACATATATACATATATATATCTTTTGCATTGAAGAACTTGTTATAATATTGTGAATAGTTACACACACACACTCACACACACACACACACACACAGGCATGCTTGGGAAGTATGAGCAGGTGGCAATTGCCACATAGTATCTTTTTTCTTCCTTTTCATAACTAGCTCTTACACACTAGATTTTTCAAACAAGAGAGGGAAGTACAACTGTAGGTGCTGAGGGTATTGCAGACTGACAGTGAACAGACCAACCTGTTCTGTTCCCTACAAAATACGTGTAATTAGCCAAAATTTCCACTTGCAATCTTTTTCTGTTTTTTTTTGTTTCACCATCTGCCAAGATAGTATAACCACTAGCACAGTGGAATGCAGCCTCTGGAGCCAAAGTTAGCTTGTAAAATGTACCCAGGCCAAAATCAGTGTGTTACTGCTACTACAGTGGGTATTAAAGTGGATAAATTTTCCCTCACTTCCCTTCATCAGTTTCTTCGGTTCTTCTCTGTCAGTTTCTTATATCTTACTTTTTCACTGTTTATGTTTCCTAACTATTTATTGTCAGTTCATCATACAAAGTGATGTATATTTCCATAAGGGTAATCTATCTAAATATATCATAAACTTCAAGAAATACAAAATCTCTATAGTACATTTATGTTAAAGATTGTATTTTTTGCATGTACAAAACTGTACTTACTGATATAACACCTTGCGACATGAAGTTAGTAGATATTTAATACATTTTCATTGTTTAATTGTTTTGATTATTATATCTAAAAGTATTAAAGTATATTTTATACTAATACCTTATGTTTTGCTATAATTATTAAGTATAAATAACAAAGTCAAGATATATAAATGAGGGATGTACACAAGTTAAGTGAATTTATAGCTTGTTCAACAAATGAGTGTTTTCTAAAAAGTATCAAGGTCACAGTCTTGGCATTAAGACCATAAATGATATCTCTTTCCAATACATTTTTAAACGTTACAAATGTTTCTCAGTGGGATGATGTTTCTGAAATTCAGTGGACATTTTCAAATATACACAAAGGTAGAGAGAATAGTATAATGGACCCCAATAAATCTACATCTCAGCTATGTTTAGAGTACATATAACATCTATGAACAAAAAAGTGTTAATACAATTGTTTCTGTGAGGAAGCTTCTTAGGTATTATATTTATTTTAAAAAGGTCATTGGGAAACTGGAGGGTATGCACCTGTGATCCTCCAGAACTTAGAACGAATTTCTCCTCCTTAATGTCCCTGCAATACTTTGTTTATTACTCAAGTTTGCATCATTCTATCATGTCTTACATTGGAATTAAGTACAAATAACACTCAATAAACATACTTTGGGTTGGATGCTATTCTAAATCTTGAAGATTTAGAGATGTACTAATCCTTGCCCTCCAGAGTCTCACAATCTGGTAATAGAAATAAAGAAGAAAATAAATTATTACTACCTCATGTGCTAGGTGCTGTAACAGAAGGACCCACAAGAAGCACTGAGGGAACTAACTAGTAAATGTGTACATGTCTCACCAAATTGTAGGCTTCCTGGGGACAAGGGCCTTTACTCCCCTGACACACGACTCTGAGTTTCTCCTCTGTCATTGGTTCAGGAAATGTTGTTTAATTACATGTTGTTGAATCGAGGGCAACTGTGCTGATAAATAGTCTCAAAACTATGTTTTCTGGAAAACACTTTACCTATCCAGGCATTTTTCATCTATAGGAGAGAAGACTGGAGAGGACATGTTAGTCCTCAACTATTTGAAGGACTGTCATGTGGTTGAGAGAACAAACTTATTCTGTAATATTCCAGAGGGCAGAAAATCCAGTCCATTCATCCTGATTCTGACTTGCACAATATTACAGAATAAGTTTCTTACATACAATGAGCCTTAGCATTGCTGAATAAGAACTAAGCATAGGTGAAGCTAATTGAAATAAAGTGAATGTGAAGATAAGTTTGATTACAGTTTTTCCAGTTACATTATTAGAAGCACTGCCATCCAGCATTGGCATTTTGTGCTACTCATTGATGAACATCTGAGAATGGTATTAGAATTGCTAGCTGCACTTACACATGTACTTTTTAATTAAGTATAATTGGCATACAATATCCTATTAGTTTCAGGTGTACATTATAGTGATTTGGTATTTATATACATTACAAAGTGATCATCATAATAAGTCTAGCTATCATTTGTCACCATATGAAATTACTACAATATTATTGACTATATTCCCTATGTGGTACATTTACAATAGCCAAGATGCGGAAGTGACCTAAATGTCTATTGATAGATGAATGGATAAAGAAGTTGTAGTGTATACACAATGAAATATTATTCAACCATAAGAAAGAATGAAATATTGCCATTTGAGAGAATATGGATAGACCTAGAAGGTATTATGTTAAGTAAAATAAGTTATACAGAGAAAGACAAATACCATTTGGTTATACTTATATGTGAAATCTAAAAAACAAAACAGAAACAACCTCATAGATACAGGAAACAAATTGGTGGTCACCAGAGCAGGAGTAGGGGATGGGGATGGCAAAAATAGGTGAAGGAGATTAAGAGGTACAAACTTCTAGTAACAAAATAAATAAGTTATAGGTGTATTTTATTTCCTTAAATTTAAAGATAATAGATATTGCTGTGGTCTGAATGTTTGCATCTCCCTAAAATTCATATGTTGAAATCCTAATATTGCCCAATGAGATGGTATTAGGAAGTGGAGACTTTGAGAGGTGACTAGGTCCTGAGGGTAGAGCCCTCATGAATAGAATTAGTGTCTTATAAAAGAGACCTCACAGCCCTCCCTCCCCCTTTCTGTCATGTGAGAGCACAGTGAGAAGTCTGTGACTTGGAAGAGGGCCTTCACCCAACCATGCTGGCACCATGATCTCAGATTTCCAGCCTCCATAACTGTGAGAAATAAACTTATGTTTTGTATAAGTCACTCTGTCTGTGGTATTTTGTTATAATGGTCTGAATGAACTAAGACAGATATGAGTCCTTAATTGAAAATCAGCTAATCTTAATCATATCCTATTGAATACCAACTCCCATTTTACGAAAAGAAAGCCTTTGAAGCCACCATTGGACATATGAATTGGGAGCCAGATATCCTGGTCAGAGTCCCTGTAATCCCTGTGATTCAAATGTTACATAGAGGGACACAAAAATGTCACAATAAATATGCCATTAGGATGGAATAATATTGTGTCATCACAAAAGTATGTTTCCTGTCTTTGGCTAGCATTTTTATATCCAGTTCTTCAGATTAAAAGGAGGCCTGGTGGACCCCAGAAGACTGTATCAATGAAAGTCAAGACATTGGTCCCACTGTCCGCTAAATGCCAGGGCATTGCAGTCTAAGGCCTCCAAACAAAGCAGCATGTGCCCTGTGTGAATTGGCTTCCTGTGCTGCAGATCCTAGTAAGTCTGAAGGAGCCAACAAAAACAATAATTGATAGCATTAAGACTGCTTCCCCTCTCCACCTCTATCTCCAAATACTTATGGAAAAGTCCCTATTTCCAAAATCCCCCTCCGGAAAATGCTTTCTCTTGATTGCCTCAGTATTGAACCTCATCAACAAAAGCATCAGTCACTGTCAGGTTTCTGGAGTTAAAATTGCTATGTGATGATCATGTTAGTTGGAGGCAGACTGAATTGAGACCACAGAACCCATCTCAGTGACCCAGACTCAATTTACGTTCCAGGATCCCAAGAGGAATGTCACATGATTTTGTTTACCCTCTTTGGATCCAGCTAGATTGTTGCTGTTGTATAAAAATGGGCAGGCTGCTGCTTTAATGCTGGTATTTTTAATGCTGTTTACAATTCCTGTTCGTGATAGGTCCTATAGAATAATAATCAGTTAAACTTACATGTATATATGTGGTAGGATCTCAAAAATTTACACAGGAAAGACTGAGTCATTTAATCTTTGAGTTTGGGAAAAGCAATAATTTATTATCTAGGGTCTTTGGAGGGTGCTATAAATGCAAAATCTTTTTGTGGCTTTAAAAACACCTTTTGCCCCTGTCCAGCAGGAGCAGGTTGGTAGAGCTAGAAGCTGAGTTAGAACTGTGACAAATGAATTCAGCAAACCATCCACTCATCCTCAGTTCTATTTAGCATTAATAATTAGAAGACTGAGTTAGGAAGAAAAGATGTATTGCTCCTATCTATTTATCTAAACTGCTTCCGCAGAAAAAAATTATAGTAAATAGCTACAGCTCCACAAATGCCTTCCCTACTATAGTGCTGCTCACCCCAAATTCTGGTGGAAAAGGCCTAGCATACAAATTGTTAACAACTAGATTCTCTTTATAGTTGTTCATAGGGAGTTGAAAATCTTTTTGTATAGTGTTTTTATTAGATTTTTTTATTTGGAAAAAGTTCACTACTCCTTTTTTTTTTTTTAACTCCAACAGTGAAAGAGGGATTTTCCTTATCCAGAGCTGTTATTTACAGACAGACCTTCTCTTCATTTACTGACCCTAAGAAACATTCACTGATTTCAACCATTTATTCAACCAAGAAGTATTTCTTGGGAATCTACTATGTGCTAGCACCTGTGAGATGCTGAGGATACATGAATGAACATGGCAGAAATGGCCCCTATCCTCAGGAACTAAAATCCAGCAGACTGAATAACTCTGAGTTATCATTATCTCCCAGAGGCTGCTCCTCTATTATCTATCTCATCAGAACCATTTATAATTACTTCTTGTAGAAGATGACCAAAAAAAAAAAAAAGTTTTCTTTAATCCTTCTTGAAAAAAGTTAATGTATCTATAAACCAATAAATTAAAAATATACTGTCATACACGTACATTCTCACATTACCATCCTTTAAAATTTTTAAAAACTTATGTGATGAATAAACATATTTCTTGCCTTTGGTATGATGTTCATGAAGCTGAAGAAGTGATTTTAAGGACTCAGCACTCTCAAACTCCTGAGTATTCTGGAGGAAATCTTCAGCTTGATCTATTTTAATAGCAAACTACAACAGAAATACAGGAAAAAACAAATGAAAAATAAAAATCAACATGCCACTTTTAGTTATTTGTAGATGTTTTGCATGCATTAATGGCCTAGCTGACTCTGTATGTGTTTGTGTGTTTGTGTGCTGGCTTAGGGTATTCGCATGAGGGTGTGTGTTGGTATGTGGTCAATTTACGAAGTGCTAAGGTAAGAACTTTTGTTTCATCCTTTTGCATTCCTTTCACACCTGGAAATATACCATGTATACTGAAATGAACCAACTTTTTTACTGTTCAGATGTCTATTAAAATTTTCAACTAAAAATTTTGTGTTCTATGGTGATCAATACAGCCATTTTTATCATTCTAAGGCACTTTGTCAAAGAATTACCAGAAAGTTTGCTAGGAGAAACCACAAGAAGTTTGACTAACCAGTGACCTACATAATTTTAAGTAAATTTAACTTAAGAGAGAAGGTTAAAATACAGCTTTTTTCCTCTATGATTAGACCTAGAACTGAAAATGAAAGTTTCAGAATGATACATAGTCTAATCCCATTTCTATACTTGATTATAGCCAAAAGGCTAAGAAGCAATGTGTAATCCCATTTCTTATACAAAGCAAAAATCTATATATTTGTGTGTGTGTGTGTGTGTGTGTGTGTTTATTCAGAAAGTGGTCTGAGAAGATATACACCAAAGAGTTACATTTATGAGAAAAAATGGGATTAGATATGGATAAAGGTAGATAAAGTTTAGTTTTTAAATCTATAATTTTGTTTGCATTTTTATCAATAATTTTATGTATTATTTATATAAATAAAAATATTTGATGCAGCAAGGATGAAAAATGGAAAACTCCTGTTTCAAGAAAAAAAAGAATAGCAATTTGATACCATAAATGGTAAGAAATATTATGGGTCTCTCTCTGTTTCTCCATGGAGAAGGTATAAAAGGGAAGTGCTTGAATTGACATTAAAATTCTCAGAGGAATAATTTTAGAAACAAATTTTAGAAAAGGGCAAACCATACTTGGTTATGCTAGTACGGTATATCTACAGTAGTAGACAAATAGCTGACTTGTTTTAACATTGATTCAAAGGTAATTATTATAGTTTATAAGTATATTTTAATCAACACATTCAACACATTCTATACTTTGGATCAAGTATAGAATAAACTCATAAAGGCAAATTATTAATGAGAAAGACAAAAGTTTATCACAGTGCTTGTCTTCTTTTTCAAGATTGTTCCATACTATTATTTTTGAATTTAGCAATTTTTAATATTTTTATATAACTATTTGATTAACAAGATCTACTGTGCTATGATTATTACAATAACCATATAAAATACAGGTATAAATGTCATGAAATGATGAAAGAGAGACTGATGAGCATGTCTTCCTTGGAAATGCAGAGAAGGCCTCCATCATCCTGTTAGAACAACCTGGTGGACATCCACCATTGTCACTAAGGGACAGCATTTCTAAATTGATGGCTAAGTCTGTGAGCCAGAAGCTGTCCTGTAATAATTATCAACTATGCAATAAGAAGTCATTTACTGCATACACACAGTTCACTAAGGGATACACATCATTTATACCTCTAATTCATTCCATTTCTAATAATTTTAAAGACATTTTTTTAAAGACATTCTTTGAGCAGAATCTTCAAAGAAAAATAAAATAATAAAATCTTGTAGGTGATTTTTTTTTTCCTGTAAAACATTACAAAAAGTTTTGGAGTCACTGTATATCTATATTTCAGCTTATTTGAAATTTTAAAAATAATAAATCAACAAGCAAAAAAATTTTACTGAGAAAAAGCTTCCTTAAAGTACTGTTAACTTTTATGTATATTTTCTTTTCCCCACTTTTCTTCTTTCTGTAGTTTGTAAAGGATAGAAATAGTGATGGGGGATATTTTTTAAAAAACCCTCTTCTTTTTTAATTGGATTGTTTTTTGTTATTGAGTTGTATGAATTCTTTATAAATACCGTATGATTTCACTTATATGCTGAGTCTAAGAAACAAAAAAAAAACAATCAAAAACACTATACAGAGTCACAAATATGAAGGACAATCTAGTGATGGCCATAGGGGAGGGAATTTGGGGGGCTGGGAGAATGAGGTGAAGGGTTACAGAAGTACAAATTAGTAGTTGATAGATGATCATGGGGATGGGGAGCATGGCATAAGGAATGCAATTAGCATTAATGTAATGGCTAGGTAAAGAGCCAGAGGAGAGAAAGAGCAATTAGGTAGATCATTTTATAAACTATATAAATGTCTAACCAATATACTGTATACTTGAAACTAATAATAAAATTAAATTAAAAAAAAATCCTCTTCTTAATTTCACTCTCATCTTTTTTTTTAAATCACTAATAAAAATTGTTTTGGCATACATACGGGAGAGGGAAGATCATGTAGGAGTTTGCCTTCAGCTAAGTATAAAGTGGTCCACAAAATTGGAAGTAAAATAATACAAGAAACGGTCATATTACCAGGAATCAGAGCTTTAGGTTGATTTATAGGTTGACTTAGTACTTCCTTTTATTTCATGTAATTAATTACTCATAGAAAAAATCAGCTAGCATGAATGCTACTACAGAGTGAGAAACAAATATTGAGCCTAATGTTTGAAAAAAGATAATTTCCTGTGCTCAAATGAGCTGTATTTCAATGGTAGTTGATACTTATATACCACTTACTAAGAATAAATCAAACATATATATAATTTGACCTCCATAGGTATATTTCGCCTGGTTTATTTCTTTTCAGGATAGAAAACTGTGTGTAGAACTTTTCCCAAGATGATAGTAAAATGAATTGCGAGTTGGACTTCAGTGTTCAAATTGTTTTCCACAATTTTTACTTTTTACTTTTAAACAAGTTCATGATGTGTAAGATCATCTACCCTAATTTTTATGTTCTATTACTAGTCTTCTTCATTATCTTGAACTTAAGTTCTAAATTTTCAGTTTGGAAATGTCACATTTTTCAAAGCTAGTGCTTTATCGCAATGAAACAGTGCTTTCACATCAAAATGAATGTACTTCCACTTGACAGAGAAGTTAAAATTGAAATTTCCAATAACTTATACTAAATATAACACTTCTTTTGATAATGTTCTTTGAGTTTCACATTTTGAAATTGGGAACCTCAAAAAAAATTGCAGATTTTAAGAAAAACCATGGAGGGAAATGACCTTCTTAGGCCAGAACATTTTCCTTCTCTTATAGGTTAATGAGTTCGAACTATAGAAATTTAACTATAAGCCTTAGGAAAGTACTTTATAAAATGCCATACTATATTTTATAAAATGCAAACATTCTAAAGGAATATCTTGCAATTGCCTTTTCATAAACAGCAGAACTTGTAGTCAATAAGAACACTCTAGACAAATATTTCCTAGAAATCCTATAATCAGGAGTAATTGTTTGATTTATTAATTATATTACTATCTTCTACAGAGGGAAATATATCATAATGACTTATGAGTAAGAGTTTCCATTTTTACTTAATATTTTACTTAATTTTAATGAACTGTACTTAGTTTTTTTAAAAGTCTACATTAAAAATATTAACAACTTTAGTTTTTGACAATCAAAAATTAAATGTATTGTATATACCTTGGTTTTTCTACCATTTTTTGAACCAATTGCAACGTCTATTTGCAGAAATAAAACATTTTCAGGAGTGCTATTCATTTGCTCTGATGTGAAGAAGGGAGAAATTTTTTTAAACACAAACCTCCAAGGCACTTTCAAAAAATTCAGAGGTCAACCTGAGGAGCTCCCTTCTTCTTTCAAGCATGGAGACCAGGGCTGCCCATGCTTCACCCAAGGTATTGGCCATGGCATCATAGACCTGACTCTGATCCTTGTTCTCTTCAGCTGTCTTGTCTGCTTCCTGCAAGAGTTCCCATACCCGATCTTCCATAGCCTAAGTCCAAGGAAAAAAAGGTGTAAGATAGAGTGTTGCTCGATGTTAAGAGCACAGGATCACAGTTAAAATGCTTAGAAATCTGAAACTGTATGTGGTCTAAAAAGTCTAGAAGAGAATTTAAAAACACAAACTGCTATGCAAGCAGGCAGATCCAACAGGCGGGAGGGAGCAGCGGAGATTGTGGTAAACTAGGGAGCATGGCCAGGCTAAAGGGCATTCACATTTAAATATTATTCAAACACTAGAGATTTGTCAAAGGTACACATCTACATTCTGAGGGGTACAGAATATCATGTTAACCTCACATTTCAAAAAAAGAAAAATACTAAATTGAACACATCCAGAAGAGAGTGATCAAGAAAAGAGAAATGAACCCAATAAAAACTTAACTATCTATTCTAAATAGTTGTTATTGTTAATATACTTGTGAAGCTTATTGTATATATTAAGAATAAGTTCTTGAAAGAGAATTTTCTTAATGTAAAAACGAATATCTGTAACCAACATTACAGATCGTTTGAACAAAATATGGGTGATTACATAATTGTCTGATTTAGAGGTAGAAGGAAGATACCATAGATTCTGTTTTATTCTTGAAGTTGGCACAAAAATAAAGGCACAATTTTAAAAACATAATAGACTAAAAATAATATGAATGAGTTCCAAAATATCAACTGAACATGGGACTAAAATGATATTAAGCAAAATATAACAGATAAAGAAGTAGCAGCACATATATCAGGATACATGTAAAAGAACAAAACATAATGATAGAAATATGATTAAATATCAGTTAACACCAAAAAAGTGGCTGAGTTATCTTTTTCAATTAAAAGACAAATATCGGATTAAGTAAACTAATTCAATTAATTTCTGTTTGTGAGAGTCATCCCTTAACTAAAAAGGTGTAACTTTTGAAAATGAAGAGAAGAGATATATTAGACAAATACAAACAAAACTAAGGAGGACTAGCAATATTAATCTCAGACAAATTAGAAATAAAAACAAAAGTCATTGAGATTAAAACAATGTGATTTTATATTGAGAAATAGTGCAATCTACAGTAAAGATAAGACACTTATAGTATTAGAATATTTACAGTATATCAGATCACAATGAAATAAAAGTAGAAATAAACAACAAAGTTCCAGGTAATAAAACAAATCTCTTAGAAAATGTAAGGTAACACTTTAAAAAATAATTCCTAGATCCAATGGAGAATAAAAACTACAATTACAGACTGTTTAGAAAAAAGTAATAATAAGGCTACTATGTTTAAAAACTTAACATATAGCTAACTTTAAGCTCTGATTAAATTCATAGCATTACTCAACTTTATTTTTAAAGAAAAGTAAATTAAACATTTAAATCTAATATTATACAAAAATAATAAAATAAAGCAAAAATTAAAGGGCATTAATTGACTAAGTACAAATCAAAATTAACCAATTAGAGAAAAACATAAGAATTGATTTTTTACAAGTTGGATCATTGAAAAGCCAAATGAAATATAAAAACATCTGACAGATGTTAATAAAAATAGCAGAGTAGATAGCTCCAATGGTCCACACATCTAAAAAACATCAAAAAAACAAACAAAAACTATCTTAATCAAAAAACATGCCATTGCTGTACTGGAACAATGGATCTGAGTTATCTCCAATTACAATTCTAGAACAGTTCTTACCTTCCTTACACTTTCAAATTATATCCTAAGACACACAAACACTTTAATTGTATTACTGTTCCCAGTTACTTGCTGTTTCTTCTGTAAAAGGGTTATACCCTCATGCCATCTACTATCAGACTTGTCCATGTGACTTACTTAGACTAATGAAATGTAAACAGGAGTTTTGTGTGTCACTACTGAATAGAAGTTTTAAGTACCAATGAGTGATTCCACCATTTCTCTTTTCATAGAAGGGGCTGCTCCTTCAGCCTGGATCTTAAAATGTAAAATTAAATGGTAATTACCATGAAGCCAAAATGTAATGTAAGAAATAAAATTTGGATACATTCACAAATTTAAAATCTTCGTTCTACATTATACATCCAAGTTTCTTTCATGCTTAATAAGGGAGGAAAATAAAATTCTTAATGCAACAAAACAAAATATCTATACCAGAGCTTGATAATTTCATAGCTAACCCAAAAACCTCTCAGGCAGATTGGGTTTCATGTGCCAATGAACCAACCCTTTAGAGACATCTACTGAATATGTGCCAACTCTATTCTCTTGGTATTTAGGCTAAACAAGACAAATTATTGTCTAAATTGACAAGAGAGTAAGATCAAATGTATATACTCTTATCTCACTATTTGAGAACATAATATCTGGGCATTTCCTTCTCATGTGACAAGCTTTAGATTATCTTAAAGGCTGGTTAACTGTATTGTGTGTGTTTTTCATTTTATACTTTTTGTCATTAAAATGGAATAATTTGACCTCAATTTTGACTTATGATGGATGTTAGTTCAAGAATATGTAAGGAGAAGAAAAATTTATATTAGGAGTTTTAAATTTTAAAATATCTCACTTGTATGACAAAGACTGTAGTAAGAACTGAAACTAGGAGAACTTGATAACTCCATGGTGGAGACGTGGAAGAGAGTAAGGAATAACAGGCCATGAATTTGCTCTGGCGTAAAGCGACTGAATACTTACATTTTTACTGATATTTCTCAGATTGGATAAGATAAATATGAAAGTTGGCTATTTCTATAGCTAATAGAGTTGTTTTTGGAAGTATTGTTTACATAGAACTCTTCTAACCTTATTATGCACATATAATTTAGTTCCTCTTAATACTGTCCTTTTCCCACGAAAGTGACTTTATAAATCAGTGATGCAGAGGTTTTAGGGGCAAGCAGCTTGAAGGACTACAATTATGGTTCCCACTATTTCCTTGGGACTCTCCCATAACCTTCAGTATGAACTACAAAATGTTCTAGTCACTGGAATTCCAAGGCCAGAACATTCTTGCAGAACTCTCTGGGTTTAATTTGGTACAAGTTGCACTTGAGATTTTCTCCAAGAAAGCCAGTAGACATTCTGCTTTGATGATCAGCAGAAAACTGTCTGCTCCAAATTCTCTTGTAATTTTAGGTCACTCCTGGGGTGCTGGGATCAGGGGCCAATGCTCCCCAGGGTTTATCAAACACCATCTGAAATACTGGAGGACAGAGGCACTCAAACAGCATGAACTAGGCAGGATTCATAGAACAGGAATATTTTTCTCAGGCAATACAAAATCTCAGGATAATGACCAGTTGGAGTATATTTCTGTGTGATTCCTGAAATGGAGCATGATCTGAACCCAAAGCCAAAATCCACCATTAAGATGTTTGGATGTATAACACTGAGGTTTCTATGATATGCCTTAAGCTTTGGTAAAGTTATTAGGAAGGCTTTTAGTTCTTTTAGGGTTCTCCAACTTGCTATGGTTGCCCATGGATCATATCACCCTATTTATTGGTCAGGCCTTCCCTTCTGATTCTGGTGCTCACTCATATGCTGCAACCACTGAGGAAACACTGTTCTATTTTAATGCCCATTACTAAGCCCTCAAGAGATTATCTCTTTTTTCTTGCTTCTCCTCAAGGAGCAAGATGTATCAGTTAGGTAGCCAGAAACACAAACACAAGTAATATACGCACGGAGAGAGCTAGAGGGCATAATACCCCATGCATGCTATCAATAATGATTCCAAATCTATAAAGGAGACAGAAGAGACCTAAGTTCTGTCCTACTCATATTTATAACTCCAGCACTTATCACTGGTTTTTAACCAGAAGTGCCCCAAAGGATTGTCTGAAAACATGTCAAGGCATTTTTAGTTGTCACGGTGTGTTTGTATGGTTTGTAGGGGAGGGGTCTGATGAAGGATGGTCCCACCAAACAGTGGCCCTACTGAGAAACACTGACTGCTCTGCACATAATAGGGGCTCAATAAATGTGTTTGTGGTCGAATGTGTGGATGAGGTGTAAGAAGTTTCTTTCACTTCCTCTTATATGTTATGTTATGTTAGAAGCCTCTCTAACATAACTACAACATAGCACCCATTCAAGAGTAGCAGTACTCCATTACTTATGGAGCAAACTCTTCTACAGTTATTAAAAAAGTTTCCTTGAACCAGACCAAAATGTGCCTCCTCATTCCCCAGACTGCTGTACCTCCAGCTTTCCAACTGTGGAAAAAGCCATGATAACATCCTGTAAGTCTTCTCTCTCACTACTTAGTTAGACCTGAAGAATTCTTTTAAAAGTACATAGGATTTGTGTACTATGGAAGTTAAAACCAGGCAACCCTGAGAATATAATTTTGAACAGTTGAAGTGAGCCTGCTGCTTCACTCTCTCAGTTGCTGTTGGCTATAGATGGCCTTATTATCTAAATGGAGAGAAGAAGCTCTTCCAGTTTGAAGACTATCAAAAATCATGAGGTAAAAAGAAAAATTAATATCTGTGTGGGCTCTAATGGGTCTGTTCACAAGGGGCCTAGTCTGCTTGGCACAGGAAGAGGATCATGGGGGAAAGGAGGGTGGGCCTCCTTTTTGCATGTCTTATTTATCAATGCAACAATAATACTGCAATGTAAAATAATATTTGCATAGTGCTTTACAGTTAAAAAACTTATATGATCCCCACAGTACTTACAACACTCTCAGTCAACAGGGATCCATAGAAAGTATTTCACTTCAATGAAAAGGGCACACTTTGTTCTCCATTAAAGCTAAAACCAAACTGTCACTTGTTCAAATACAACACAATAATACTTTCAATGACTCTTATGGTTCAGAGAAGATAACATCTAATGGAACCTAAAGTTATTCAAGAATGTATTCACTCACCCATGCTCTCACTCATTCAGCATGAATTTTTTAATCATCTCTAATCAAATGGTACAAATCGTGCTCATAAATCTGAAAGATTGGCTAGGGGGCACCTAGTTATGATTGTATTGTTTCCCTTTCTTTGAAGCTTCACCTTTTTCTTTA